GGAAGACGGTTGATCTTTCCATTGACTTGAGAGAGTTCACAGAGTGTGATCTCCATGAGTGAGGCCAAACAGGGGTTTGCCCTTTATAGGATAACAATATATATACAGTGTATATGTACAGTATATAGTTGACAATAACAGGGCACACAAAAAAGAATAGAAGAAGAAGAGGGCCTCCTAGCTTCTCTCGGATTCATTTTTATATATTGCAGAAATTCGGATACCCGGGATTCGTGCGACTGGACAGAAGCAGCAGCAGGTTCTGCAACAGCATGGATAATGCCACAACTAATAATACTACTACTTGTATTAGCAATGGTAATAGTAGTGATAACAACAACAAGGACACTCATCGTCATCATCCTCCTTCTACCAACAATAATAATAATAATGATAATGATAATAATGCTATTCATCGGGCTCATCCTTCTGCCGAGATGAAACGTGGCAACCAGACATTCCGCGTCGTCGACGAGAACTGCTGGGACTCGGGCGCCCGTCTCAGGGACATGGACGCCACCGGCGTCACTCTCCAGGCCCTGTCCACTGTGCCGGTCATGTTCAACTACTGGGCAAGTACTTGGTTCTGCATATTTATAAACAGTTTAACTGCGTGCATATACAGTACTTGCTTGGCTACTCGTCCTGTTATTGACCTGCATGCAACGTCATTCCGAATCAGGTTACACACATATTGTATATACAGTACAGTATATCAAATGTAACTGCGTGTTTTTTTTGAAAGCAAGTGAAAGAATTAATTGGGTAAATGAACTCATCTTGACTTTAGTAAGTTCAGGTTCAATAAATCCTCTCAACTCATTTATTATACTGTAATCAATTCCAGCCCCAGAATATTTACCAATTTCTTGCAATATTCTTTGTCCTTTTTTCCCCGCCAGTAAAAATGTTTTTTCCTTATTTACTAATTGAAACATCTCTGATTTCAATTTTGATTCAAATAAGAAGTTGGATTGCATTATATAAGTATATATATGACATATATATATATATACAAGAGGTGATGCATGATATTTGCTGGGTACATAATGCAGTTGAACCTCTCTAAGTTGAATTTCAAGGGACCTGCAAAAAAATTCAACTTAGGGAGGTCAGGAATTTTATAGGTTGGAACTGCAATACAAAGCCCTTTTTTCTGGAAAACTTTGAAACAATTTAAATGGAGATATTCTAAAACTTAAATGGCTTCTCAAATGAGTTGGAAGGCTTCTGAACTTAGTGGCAGGGGTTTATGTTCCCAATTAAGTCTTTTGCTTCCTTTTAAAACACGTAAGTTACTGTTTTTATTGCTTTTTTCTTTTCTTTTTTTCAAGAAAATAATGGCCAACATCACAGGCCAAAGAAAATTCGACTTACAGAGACATTTGAGGGGAAAAGCCTTTGGCTTGGGGAGGTTTTTTTTATGTACAGTACAGTATTGTTTCTAAGGGGATTCAGAGGGGATCTGAAAAAAAATTTTGACTTAGGGGGTATTTGACTTAGGGAGGTTAAAGTTACTGAGGTTCACCTGTATTCATAACAATCAATGAATATTACATAATACTGTACATCATTGAATGATCATATAGCTAGCATGCACAATCCAAAGTACTTATATTACTTTAATTGTTCAACAATGAATATACTGTACTGTGTTATAATACAAACAGGCAAAACCAGAAGACACCATGGAAACAAGCAAGTTCCTCAACGACGACATTGCAGTCCGGATTGCGCAGCACCCTGACCGGTTTGTCGGGTTGGCAACCCTGCCTTTGCAGGCCCCGCTTTTGGCAGTGGAAGAGCTCAAGAGAGTCGCAGTGGACCTGAAATTCTCTGGCATTCAAATCGGATCCCACGTCAACCAGTGGAACCTGGATGAACCTGCATTGCATCCAGTTTACAAGGTACAGTACTGTACATTTATTACTATGCCCAATTCATGCTGCATGCAGGCAAATAATGCTTTCATCATGTTCACATCATTTATGTATATACAAATATGCAGACTGCCGAAGACTTGGGCCTTGCAATTTTTGTGCACCCCTGGGACATGGACACTGCTGGTGGCAGATTGGTCAAGTATTGGATGCCATGGTTGGTGGGTAAGCAATACAAATATATATTTACTGTATACAGTATATATAAATATATATACTGTGCATGTGAAAATTCAGTATAATAGATAAAACCAGCTACTGCTCCACTGATTTCCCAAATGAACAATATATTGGGAATTGGCAACATAAATAACCTCTTTTTAATATGCCAAACTCACAGCCACCTCAGTTCACTGCTGGCAGTTTTTTTTTTTTTTCAGCAACATGAACTTACTGAC